TTCTCTTTTTTTTTTTTTTTTTTTTTTTTTTTTTTTTTTTTACAAAGCTGCTAGCCATGTGCTGACGAAGGGATTCATGCTCATTTGTAACCAACGCGAGGCTCCTATCCAAAGGTGGGAAAGCAGGGCACAAGGAACCCCATTCCACAGGAACAGATAACATTGTTACATTGCAAACTGAGTGGAACAGGGGCACAACCGCGCAAAACTCCGGTTTGAGAAGGAAAAAAAAAAAAAACACAGAGATGATTCGTTAAAAATGAATTAATTGTTACAACGCAGGAGGGAAGAAAAAAATGGGAGGAGAAGAGATTGCTGATTTATGCACATGCCATTTCAGCCCCAGCCCTGTCGATGCGTGTGCATACACATGTGAGGACAGATGGCCGAAAAAATGAAACAATGAAATTGTTCTACTTGTTAAAGCGAAGCCCAAAACATGTGAGAATACGCAGGAACGTGTATAGTGACTCACACATATGCGGGAGCAAAGTGAGATTTTGTCACACCATAAATTACGCGCACTTAGCGCATTTGGTCAGCAGAAGAAGGAGCAATTCGGACGAAGCGAGCTCGCTTCATGCTTTGCTGAGCACTTTGACGAAACGGGGGCAAAGGGAAAATGGCCATTACAGTGAAGTTAACAGTTACAAGGGCCACACCTGTCACCACGATGCAAATCACCGTAAATACAACAACGTTTTAAACAGGTGGAAAGAGTTAGTCAAAATATACATAAGCTGGTTCCCTGAAATTAACGAGGACAAATATAGGTCGAAATGTTTTGCCCTACCCACCTATTTGGTCATCCATGTGGTGATCCCCGGTAGCAACAGAACTGAGGCCGAGGCATTGCAACAATTTGAGGATTTCAACTTGGACACACTGCTAAAACGTATTTATCGGAACAACGCACACATACCAAATGGGAGCTACCCCAAGTGTCTTCCCGAAGCGACCGACCACCGTGTTTGCAATGCAAAACAGGGAAGCTCACCACATGGAGGTCAAACCATTGATGCGGAACGAACTCACAGTTTAAAAGAGGAAAGCGATGGACAAAATCCAGGTAAGGGCAACAATAAGTCCACTATAAAAAGAAAGAGAAATGACAATTCGGGTGCTTACGATGTACACTACGTTATCGGAAGAAATGCCGGCGATACGTACAACAAAGTACAAAGCGTTGTCAGTGGGGCGGATGGTGCTCAGCTGAAGGTACAGGGACAGGATCAAACCGATCAAAGTAATAAACGGGAGGCATGCAGCGAAAGAAATTACTTCTTCTCCCTTAACACGCTTGAACTGAAAGATAACGAGGCGGACAGAGAGTTGCTAAATCAATGTATTAGGGGAAGTGTTACAGAGACAATTGATCCCGTGGACAATGCTCAGCCCAATGGTGACCACCACCCCCATCCTTTTCTCTTCATCGTGTACGACTGTAAAACGCTAATTCACATATTCAATAACATCAAATTGGAAGTACCAAACATCGGCAGCGTGTTCGATGTGTATATTTTGAGTTCCCTATTGCAGATCGTCCAGAGGGGAGAGAAGCTTCAAAATGTGTTTAGTGCATATGCAGCACAGTCTGGGAGAGGTATGTTATCGATGCTGAACAGTACGCCCGATTTGGAGCTACCCACTGTAGGGTCAAGCACGGAATCCCACTTTGCCATTATTCCACCCGAATTTTCGGACGTCATTTCTGGGAAATATGGTATTTTCGGGTGGGGCAAGTACCAGAAGATAAAAATAAAGAGCGAAAGAAAGAAGAAGGCGACGGATAAGCGTGATATTTCGGAGGGTTACTATCATGCTGGTGCCACTTCTACCCCCATCAGTGTGAAACAACAGACTAGCAAGGTGACACAGAACCACTTCAGCTTCACGCGCGTAGAAGTAATGGACCAAAGAAGCATTAAGAAATTGGCTTTCGGAAATAAAAGAAACCTGTATGACATCACGGAGGAAGATATGATCAGCTACTGTATATCCAGAAACTGCTGCATGATGGCACTCTTCGATGTTTTAATGGACTTAATAGCAAGGAATTTAAACCTGTTAAATATTTACGTCAAAATTGAGCAACCACTCATTCTATGTATTAGCGAAATTGAAAGAAGAGGAATTTTTTTAAACCAAAAAAAAATTGAGGAAATTAACCAAAGTTGCAGTAACCCCTTAGTGTATAAGAAAGAAATAGAACACCTCTGCGGGTGTAACATTAATTTGAATTCGTCCAAACAGGTGGCATCCCTAATATATAGACACTTACTCGATCTTGCCCTAAACCCTAACATGGAAGTAGTCGCAACGACTGCAGACGCAACGTCTGCTACAGAAGGAGTAAATTATGATTATACTGTTGAAAGGCACAACAGTGTTAAATCGTTAAGTCACGCTTGTGATGGATTTGACGCAGAGGAAGGGACATTTGAAGATGGAGAGCAACAGGACATAGGGAAAGTCACAGCAGGCCACCAGGTGCAATCTTACGGAAGCTCAAACAAGGAAGATACGATGAGGCCAGGAACAAACTTGGAGAAGGGCAATTTACTGGGAAACATCAGTACACAGGGTAATTACTCTAATTATGTGGAAGAGCCGTCATTGGTCATGGACACATCGATAGCAAAGAAGCTATGCCCCAACCTCAACAGCACCATTAGCGAAATAAGAGGAAGCAAATGTTTGCAAACGAACAACAAAACGCTCAAACTGATTGTGGACGAAATTGAACGAAATGAACATATAACAGAAAGGAAAAAGGACAAAATAAAAAAAGTTATCAGCAACGTGAAACTGTACAGGGAGTCTAAGAAGCTGTTTCAGAATTACATAGAAAATTTGCCCAAATTTATACAGAGGGAGACCAACAGGATTCACTGTAACTTCAATCAGATAGGGGCATCCACCGGCCGTCTGTCCTGCGAGCACCCCAACCTGCAGAACATCCACTCGAAGTTCCGATCCGCAGTGTCACTCAGGGGGGGTGATAGGGGCAACGAAGAGCTCGGCAGTGCCGACGTACGGGAGGACAAGCTTACAACAACAGAAGAGGCGCCTGGCGAAAAGTTAATGTATGAAGAATCCCATCATAGGGGCTGCTCGCGCCCAAAACTAGATGGCGAAAACCTCATCACCTTCGACTACAGGCAGATGGAGTTATTCATCATGGCTTACCTAAGCTTCGACATACAGTTACTGAAAATGCTGCAGAGTGGCGATGTCTTCGTTGAGACCGCGAAGGTGTTATTTAACACAACCCAAGTCACGAGCGAACTGAGAAGAATGACCAAAACTGTGATATATGGGATTTTGTATGGGCAGACAGAAAATGGATTAGCCAGAAGCCTCCTGGTGAGCGAAGAAATGGCAAGTAACCTAATTTCGAATTTCTTTCAAGTTTTCCCCAAGGTGTACAGATTTATGCAAATGCAGAAAATTTTGCTAAAGCATATGAATAGAGTGTATACGTTAATTGGGCGCAAGAGGATAATTGAACCCACCGTAAAAAACAAGTACCGGATAAGTATGAATACGCCAATTCAGGGGTGCGCGGCGGACGTTATGAAGTTCGCTCTGCTTTCTTGCTTCCATATCATGACGCATGGGCGTGGGCACCATGTCATTAGCAATTTCAAGGGGATGCATGGACCACATAGCAAGCAGCACGTACACTCCACGTGTGCTTGGCCCCAGAACGCAAGGCTGTTAGAAATAAACAACGTAGACACAGCACTTCTGGAGGAAAACAAACCATTCCTAGATGCAACAAAATTAATTTTGCAAGTGCACGATGAATTGTTATTTGAGAGCACCAGGGTAGCCACGGCCCCAATCATTGGACTCTTCAGCCCCGTTCTAGAAAACGCCTTTTACAATTTAATTCACTACACATGTACGTACGATAGGTTGGTTCTACTTTATGATTACATGCATGATCATATTTCTGTGCAGACGTATATAGAGTGTCTTCAGCTGTCTAATAATGTCCAAACGTGGGGTTCGGACTCCTATGGGCCAAGTGATAGACACTATAATTCGTCCAGAAGATTAAATGCAATTCTTGAACAGTTTAAATTTACATTACCGATTAAGGTAGAAACGGGAGAGTGTTACAAAGAGTTTTCTTAATATGTACATGAGCCATTTGTGGAAGGACGTCAGGTGGCAAACAGTGCCACTTGTTTTTGTTTCGATTGGCGCTTCCCTATTCTTTTAAGGGATGCTGCGACCTAGAGCACAACGCGCATAGAGCGTGCTTGCATACGTATCAACCTATGCTCACACGCGTGATCGCACAAATGGACTTGTTCTATGTGTTTTGTAAATCATTTTTATTTTGCGCATTGTTTTTGTTTTTTTTTTTGTGTGTGTCTAGACACCCATGAAAAACAACAACAAAAATGACAAAGATAAGAAGGAAAAAAAGGCGACAAAGGAAAAGAAAGAAGAAGGCACAATCATTAATAATTTTAACATTTGCCGTAAGAGGGACACATCTTTGTTCTTTTCAGATGTGGTCTTTTTTATGTGAACATTTTTCATTTGTTCTTATTTTTTTTTTTCTTGGTGGTTAAGGAAAATTGTAAGGACAACAGCGTCCCCTTTTTACTCTTACGACCTGTGGTTATATAGTAAAGGTTTTTTCCATTATCCTGTTCTTCTGTTCTTGCACCGGGAACAAAAATAAGTAATGGACTCGCAGGGAACCGGAATAAATAATGTACATATGTTAGAGTTTATGAGTAATATGTATGTTATGTTTTCTATACTATGCACTATACACAGTTTCTAAAAGTGAATGATACAAATAAGGGAGTAAAAGAATGCGGAAGGGCGAACGATGAGAAAACAGAATGAGACAAGGGAACAGTTCTTAATGATGTTAACATTTCCCCTAAGAGGGACACATGTTTCTTCTTCTTCCTTTGAGATTTGTTCATTCTCGACCTGTGAAACTTCAAGCTCGCCTATTTGGGCTTATTTTTTTCTTGTCAGTGCTATAAATGAAATTCCTCTATGTGACGGGCAATTTCTGCTTAGGGTCTGAGATCATAATACAGCTTTTTTTTTTTTTTTCTTTTTCATTCACTTCTTGTTTTCATTTTTTGCCTTTCTTTTCCTTGTCTTGTTCTGTTGCTTTTTCTTTTTCTTTCTTTTCCTTTTCCTTTTTCTGCTCTTTTGTTCCCTTGTTTGTTCCTACGTCTGTCTTTTCTTTTCCTTGAGTACTAGGCTTCCCTGTTGCGCCTCCATTGTACCTGTCCATTCTCTCGGTTAAAATACTCACACCCTGGTTCCTGTTTTGGGAAATACTATCATGCGCTTCTTTGTTCAAGCGAATTAACAGATGGTCGAATGAATTTAGCCATACATTTTTCCCTTTGCTTTTATCAAGAAAGTTGCTGAAGGAATTTTCACACTCCTCATGGATGCATTGCAGGTCACGCAGAAGTTCCGCTTTGCATTCTTCCCACCACTGTAACTTGTACTCATCAGGCAAAATATTGTCTTTCGCTATGCCATAAAACCACTTCTTCAGGTAGTCCATCATGTCATTGTACGTCATTTCTAAATACATCAAGTACTCAAAAAATAAAACAAATGCGTTTCTTTTACTAAGACTAAAGCGCATTCTTGTCAACACTCTTAATACCCCTTCGTTCTTGAGATCCTCTGAAAGGTCATCCTTGGTGTAATCGTCTGGGAGCTTTGATTGATACATTTTCAAGATACCATCTTTCCAATTAGGGTCAAAGGCACCAGAGTGTTGCACTGTATTGGCTTCCTTTTGCAATGAAGGCATTGCAGTTTCTGTTTTTCCTGGCTCTGCTACTTCTCCCTGTTGTGGCGGCACTTGTGGTTGTTGTGGTCCTCAGGGCCCAGGTGTTTCCTGTTTTTTGTGTATTTCTGATTTCTCCGACTCCTGAACGGGCGCAGATTCCTTAGGTGCACCGTTGCCAGGTTTAGCAAGAACTTTAGTCTGCTTTGGTTTTTGCATATCCAATTTAGCCGTTAATAATCTAGTGATCCTGCACGTGGGGGTGCTACTTCTGCCAGTTCTGTGGTTCCATGATGTGCCGAATTCATTTACCTAACATATAGGAAAAAACGGGGGAAGAATGTATTTGGGGGGTCATACATTACACAAATATTAGTACAAAACCCATAAAAAAAGAACAGACGGGTGTTTGCATTATCTGCAAATAGGATAAACCTTAGTCACAATGGATGCGACAGCTCTTAAAATGTAGTAACGGTTATCTTACGTGGTTGAGACATTGCAAGGGGCCCAGAACAGAAAGGAGTATAACGGGTTTCGCACGGAATATCATCCTTTTTTTTTTTTTTATTTTGGTTTCTTTTTTTTTTTCACACTTTAACGATAAAGAACGTTTAAAGCAGCAAAATATCTTTCTTTTATATATATAAGGATTATATGATTATTCTTTTTTTTTGATATATGTATATATTGTACAATTTATTTTTTTTGTTTTTGTCTATATATGTATTGATTATTTGATACTTATTTTTTTTTATATATATGCAAATATTACAGAAATGATTGCTTTTTTT